CATACTCGGGTGTATTTTGTAACCACTAAATCACTACGAGGGATTGCATTGAGCCATCTTTTACGACAGTTTTCGTTCAATGGAAACGAAAATACGTGTACCTTCGGACCCTTCCCGTAATTACCGACACAATTAGGAACGCAGCACTTGTAAGGCATTTTGAAAACTTAGCTAAACAATCGCGAGACACAAATATAAGTTTAAAACGTCAACAACTTTCAGTTTAGATAGCATAGAAAGATGAGGCTCAGAATGTGAGGTTAGTTGGCAAGGTTGCCACATATTCCAATTTTGAATGGAATATTAGACTTCACAAGTGGTAGATTGAACGTAATATCGAAAATGTATTGTTGACGTACTGAGGCAGATCAGAAAGAATAATCACATCATCACTGAAGCTGCGCAGGCCCCGAGTACATCTTGCAAATTCGCCCACAGAGAGGTACAACTAATTAGTAGAGATTTCGATACTGCTATATAAACCTAGATATGACACAGAAATGGTGGCGCGGTTCTCTTACCAGCCAGTCATCGCGAAACTCCATAAGAACATGCATACTCCTACTCAGGCTTTTCAGCGCCCAGTTGTTTGGCCTTGTAATCTCGGTGGTAACGGTTTGGTGGAGGTATTATTACTGGTTGGGCTAAGGTAATGCACAATTGTAAAACCGAACGTTTCATTTCAAACAGGACAGTCGATGCTGCACTTTATAGGAACAATATAGTTGTTCCTTTTGCACAAGATTTTGGAAAGGATTTTGTCTTCATCGATGATGACGCCAGGCCTCACAGGACTCGTGCGGTTTTAAACTTTTTGGCAGTAAATAATGTTACATTATTGTCTCTGCCATCAAAGTCTCCAGACCTATACATAATTCCGTGGTGCCAGGGAAAAAGGGGAAAGTCAAAATTTGCTCAAAATAGGATAAGTTCGAATTCAAATTATATATTATGGGATCTTTGTTACGGACAAAGTAAGGTATGTTATTTTCAAAATACAGTAGTGAAGTAATGTTCATAATGAAATACGTTCAAACAGGTCCCTGAAAATGTTCAAGAGGAGGTAAGTTAACTTAACAAAAAGAACTTTGAACTCATTTATTTTGGATAAAGTCGAGCAATGCGAAGTATGTCCTTAAAAAATCGGAAAAGTCCTGGGTTCGATGGTATTAAAAGCGAGCATTTGAAAATTATAGCCGAGGACATAACAGAACCACTCAATTACCTAATCAACAAATGCTTTGAATCTGGCATATAACCCTCAATTTTAAAAAAAGGTAATATAATACCGATACATAAATCAGGAACAAAAACAGATGTTAACAACTATAGACCAATATCAATAATATCCAGTGTAGCAAAGGTTTTTGAAAAAGTTTTATCTACTAGAATGATTCGATACCTCACAAAATTCAAAACTTTAAGTGAAAATCAATATGGATTTACAGAAGGGGAGGCTACATCGGACGCAATAACTAAAATTGTAAATCAAATACATCAAAATATTGATAACAGAATCCCTTCAATCTGCATTTTTGTTGATTTAAAGAAAGCTTTCGATACAGTTAATCACAAATTATTATTAGAAGCATTGGAGAGAATTGGTTTCAGAGGAAACGCGTACTCACTGATCGAAAGTTATTTGTCAAATCGCCCACAATCTGTGCAGATATCAGGATCATTTAGTAAAGAAATGTATATTAATTGTGGTGTCCCACAAGGAACTGTCTTAGGTTCGCTGTTATTCAATATATATTTAAATGATATTTTCCAAATTAATTGTGTTGGCAAAATAACTAGTTTTGCAGACGATACTGCAATATTATATGAAGGCACTGACTGGTCTGATCTGAAAAATGTAATTGAAAATGATTTTATCAAAATTATTCGGTGGTTTAACAGTAGAAAATTAAGCATTAAACAACATTAAAACACATTTTTTACCATTTGGATCTTATGCTAGACATCTGCCAAATTACACAAATTTCTCCTTCAATATTAATGATCAAAAAATGCAAATTAATAGAGTGCCCAACATAAAATACCTTGGAGTGGTCTTGGATCCTCACTTACGATGGGACATCCATGTCAATTATATTTTAAAGAAAGTTAGATTTGTATCCTACAAAATTAAATACCTTGGGAATATATTGACAGAAAAATATCTTCGAACATTATACCATGTACTGATTGAGCCTCATCTCACATATGGTATATTAGCATGGAGAGCTGCATGTTCCTCACATATCTATAATTTAGATGTTTTTCAAAAAGGTATTCTAAAAATGATATTTAAAAAACCGAAACTTTATCCCACTGAAAAATTATACTCAGATGTTCGAATGTATGATATAAGACAGCTTTATTTCTTACACAGTATCACTCACTACCGTAAATTTGTAAACACCGACCAAAAAATTAAACATAATCATTATACCAGGTACAAAATTCGTGGCACAGTAGTTCCTCAACCGCATAAATCTATAATGCAGCGATCATATCTCTATTTAGCGCCTAAATTTTATGAAATTATACCTAAAGACTTAAAAGGTTTACGTTTCGGAAATTGTTTCAAAAGAAATTTAAAAAAGTGGCTACATTCTATATCTAGGACTGAAATTCATAAACTCATAAATACGAACATCAACTGAATACATAATCTACTGTAGCTAATTTTTGTCCTTTTTTGTCATTTGCATTCTACAGTTTCAACTTAAATTTATCGGTCCATGTACAGGCGATGCCTATTTACTCATATTGTTTGTTATCTTTGTACATTGAGTGAATAAATATTATTATTATTATCCCTTTCGGTTCAAAAATATGAGCTGTATCGCTCCCGTAATATTTTATATTCTAGCTACATGCTTGTCAAATCCTGTCGTAGAGAATAATGTTTCAAACACACAGATGATGACATCATAAAAGTAACTGCAGGTCAGAATAAGAATTCGCACATTGTTGCAATCTTTTTGCCGTATTAAAATCGCATCCAACAGTTAAGGTGATCGATCACAAATTTTTAGTTCCCGGACATACTCACATTGAATGTGATGGGGATCATGCTTTGATTGAGAGAACAAGAAAACGTTCAGAGACGACAATCCATCATCCACGAGATTGGTATCAAACGGTTCGATTAAAGTTGTTGAAATGGATCAGTCCAAATGTTTTGTCTTAGGAAAACTTTTAAAAACTGAACTACAATTAAAAAGAAAGATGAAGCTGGCGATCCATTTTGTTGGCGTAAAATATGAGAAATAAAGGTTGAATGAATGAATTTCAAGACAAGTGTCACCGACAATGGAAGCACTTGTCGTTTAGGAAACGGGGCGCCCTGCCCAATTTAGCTCAAGATTTACAGTTTTAATTTCGGAAAAGAAGAAGCCGAACCTGATCACACTATCACCCTATATTTCCGACGTGTTTTTGGGGTTTTTATGAAAATTTGCCCACCAACAGTGATGAAGAAACACATCCAGATATAGTGTCTTCTGACGACGACGATTAGTTCGTACTGATAAATATTTTTTTTGAATTAGCTGTCGAAAAACTGAAATTCTCGTTTCTGTGTTTAGTTTAAATAATAATAATAATATTTATTTACTCTAAAATACAGGGAACATGAAACGAGTAAATAAATATAATATATCCATAGGAGGACAACGCCTGTGCATGGATCATATGTATGTTGAATTGCAAAATATAATAAAATAGAGAGTAAAAAGAAATTATTGGTAAGAATGGTAGAGCATTTATTGTGTAATATTTGAGATTATTTTATTAATTTGATTTCTCCCAATCGTGTTAATAAATTTTTTTAATTTTTTTTAAAGCCTAATGTATTGCGTAATTGTTTTAAATTATTTGGTAAATGTTCGTACAATTTTGGAGCTATATACAGGTGACATCGTTTCATTAGGGATTTGTTTGGTTTAGGAACATTTTTTGCGCGTAATTTATATCTGGTTTTATGATTATGTTTAATTATGTCGTGTTCACTAATAGTTTTGTGATAATGAGTGATGGTATGTAAGAAGTAATGTTGTTTAGTATCATATATTTGTGCATCATTATATAAGTCATTAGTTGGGTTTAATTTTGATTTGCCTAACACTGATTTTAAAATTCTTCTTTGAAGTACATCTAAATCGTTAAAGTATGTCGTGCATGCAGCACCCCACACTACTATACCATATGTTATGTGTGGCTCGACTAAAGCTTGATATATTATTCGTAGATAATATTCAGTTAATATACCGGTTAGAAATTTTATTTTATATGCTATGAATCTAATTTTCTTTAGTATGTGAGAAATATGTACATCCCATCGCAAGTGGGGATCTAGATAAATTCCTAAATATTTTGTATCATTAACTCTATTGATTTTTATATTTTTATCATTTACCTTAAACCGAAGGTGGTTATATTTTGGTAGATGATTAGATAGTGATGAAAACGGTAAAAAATTTTAGTAAAGTTAATTGTTAATTTTCGGTTATTAAACCACTGAATAATTTTGCAAAAGTCATTTTGGATAATATCTTTTAAGTCGTTCCAATCCTTACCTTTATACCAAGAGTATAGCAGTATCGTCTGCAAAACTGACTATTTTACCAGTACTGTTAATTTTGAATATAATATAACTAATGAGATAAGTACATTTTTGTTACGTTCGTAAAGGGATATGTCAATTTTTTTCTTATATAAACTTTTTTTGAAATTGCAACCTAACGTATAAAGGAGTTATTTCTATCCAACATACCCCTAAAATTTCAAGGCTGTATTTACATACCCGATTTTAGAACAATACTTAAACTTTAAGTCTAATCACAGAGAATTCTAAAAGTTCGTTTTTGTCATAAATGAATAATTTAGGTATTTGACTGGTCGCCAAATTTTTGTTTTTCAAAATGTTCAATATTGTTAATATTAATCAATAAATGAAAATTTAATAGAGTCTATAACCTATTGGAAAACATCTCCAATGAAGACGCGTACGCCAACGCTGAATGAGAAAAATAAAAAATTCCAGATAAAAGATGAAAAACAGTGTCTCCCAGCATTTTGAAAAATAAAAAAGTTATTAGCAGCTCTTACCAAAGCAACTACGCCACTGGAATACACCCCTGTATTAAAAGTAGTAACTTGAATTTGTTCATTAAGATGTTTGATTACATAGTAAAATTTATAAATTCGGTTTAAATTTAGACCTTTATTATTATTATCTACAATTCTGCATACTGTATAGCACACTTCAACCTTTCATAATATTCCTTATTTTCGGGCCTTGGAATCAGACTCAGAAGATCACCCAGAGCCGTTCCTTCTTCCATACGCGCGAAATCGGGGAGATTCTCCTCCTCTCCTACGACGAACTTGAAGGCTGTAGGCATAAACAACATTCCGAAGGTCTGGGCAGTCCTCCAATGCTTTTGGAGGTCTTCAAATGTGTAAAGACTGGGACTGCTGCCCAACTGTATCAGAAAGTCGGAGAGGTGCTCGTGATATTCTTGTAGAAACTGGTGGAACAAGTTTGCAGATCTTGAACTCGTCAGGTAGAGAAAATAGGCTAGATCGTATGTGGGTGACTTCAAGCTTGAAAATTGCCAATCTAGGATCATCACGGAGGATGGAGATGTTTTATCGTTATTCTGAAAGATAAGGTAGCTTCATGCATTCAATTCTCTTGCAAATCGTATAGAAAAAAGGAAACACAGTAGTAATGAATTTATTAGGAATATTTTCTAGGCTATAAAGCACAGGTTGTTTTTAATTCCTTTGCACAAAAACTAACAAGATACCAAAACAACCCAAGATGCAGAAATGTAGTATGTTTACATAGACGCTAAATTTACAGATATACAGGGTGTTCCTTAATGCAACTTCATTAACTTCCTCTACGTACTAAATATCGGTGAAATATCTAAAGCGGTTCTGGAAATATTAATTAATTTCCATTTTTTTCCTAAAACTTCAACACCCCGAGTTTTTGTTAGGAAACATTTTTGGACCATAGTTTATTCAGCAAACTAACATTAATTTTTCATGTAGATTCAAACCCTTAAATATTCGCATATCATTAAGGAACACTCTGTACAAATAAAAATTGCAACAAGAATCAGTGGTGTATTTTTTTCTTTCAAAGATATCCTGTACAGTACCTTCCGGGGCGCAACTGAACTTGCGGAATTACAAAATAGTTATATCCAACTGGCACCCTATTACTGCAAAAAACTTCAGCAAAAACAATACGTGGTCTGTATACTAAGTGACATATAAATGCGAACACCCAGTTTAAATGGTTTTATTTTAATAAAAGTTGGTGAATGTATTTATCTTACTGTAAATAACAAATGAAAAAATTTTCAGCCTTATCAGTTGGACATTCCGGTTTTTATACTGCTTTTTTTTAATTCACTAACGCTCTAAAAATGAATATTTCAGCTGCAGTAAAGAATCAATGTTGGCGGATTTTGGTTCTTGACATCCTTTACGATCGGTTACGATGCCTAGAGTACGGAGACCTGTACGATTTCGTCAACTTAGTGAGTTTGATAGGGGCCGTATAGTGGGACTTCGGGAAGCTGGACTTTCTTTTCGAGCAATTGCAGTTAGAGAGCAAAGAAGTGTAGACACTGTGGTTAGGTGTTGTCAGGCATGGCTTCGAGAAGGCCGTACGCAAAGAGCAAGGGGCACTGGACGCCGCCGTAGAACAACAGACCGTGAAGATCGCCGCCTAAGATTATTGGCCTTAAGGGACCGTTTCTCCACTACCAGGTCCATTGCAAATGAATGGTTTGCAGAACACGGAAGACCTATTGGCATGCGAAGTGTTTACCGACGAATGAGAAGTTTTGGCTTGTTTTCATACCGGCCACACTGGGTCCTCCCTTTAACTCGAGAACACCGACGTAATCGCCTTGAGTGGTGCAGACAACGGTCACTCTGGGATCAGGAACGGAACAGTATTGTCTTTAGTGAAGAGTCTCGATTTTGTTTAGGCATGCACGATGGTCGTGCCAGGGTTAGAAGGCGACGTGGTGAAAGGAGGAATCCACAGTTTTTTGATAATGCCCGACCACATGTTGGCGTGTTGGAGGATGCGTAGCACATCAGGATGCATCCACAAATTATTAAAGGTCAAAGGGCTTTAAAGCAGTGCAATGATTTTGAAATTTTTATCATTTACTTATTATGGTTCATTAAGTACTTATACAAAATTTTATTAAAATAAAACCATTTAAACTGGGTGTTCGGATTTATATGTCACTTAGTATATTTAAGAGCCCTTTCTGTGGAAGCTAGACAAAGCATCAAGTTGTGCATATGGACATCTTTCATCAAGATATCTAAAGTAACATACCAAATGTATATGCGGAGTCTTTAGATCTACTTTCCAGTGACCTATTGACTTACTTGGAGTAACTCAGTAGTTTCCGCTGCATTTTATACTCCCATATATACACTTTCTATATCGGGTAAGGAGAATATCAGTCTCAAACAAAAAATCGCAGAAAGGCAGTTTAGGTATTCAATAATAATTCACAATTAGTAAGTTTATTATTTTTTTTTCACGGGAGTGGATTTGCAAGATGTAGAAGAGGCTTAGAATATTTTTAGGACATTTATGCTTCATGACATTCTCGCAAATTAAACCATTTATTATAATGAGTGAGAAAAAAGGTAAACATCTACGTATGTTTATCCGATCTTAATAATTCTTGGCATATATGTTCAGTGTCAATCACCGTAAATGTACGAAAATTGAATGCTTCTTTATCACCAAACGATACATGCAGCCATCACAATAACTTAACAGAAAACCCTGACCATTTTATCACTTGTTCATGGCAAATTATTCTTGAATTCTAATAAACATACCTTTTTTGTCACTCTCTATACAACTAGAAGGAATTTTCTTTATAAATTTAAATTCATAAGAGCATCCATACAGATTTTGCTGAAACGATCAATGAAAAATTTCCTCTACTTGTATATACATACCTTATATTGGAACATGAAATTATTATTCCAGCAGTCTCCATGGACAATAACAGCTTTCTCGTCTATAGTTGCTACCGCTTCCACCAATCTATCGGCGCCACCTTTCGTCAACTGTTCATACTTCTTATACAAGTCTTCATCGCCAGACTTCTTCAGGAGATCAAGCGCCTGTTGAATCCCGATATTCATTGCTTTCCTGGTCGCAGGAGCTGATAAGAAGTCTACAAACGGATCTTTCATGTTTCTGGTCAACGAGTCGAATAAGAGCCTATTTTGATCACGTAGCGCGAACGACAGGGCATGCAACCTTGCGTACTCTCGAAGAACCATCCTAGAGTGGGCTAGGTTCATGCAGATCTTCTTGTCGTGAAGCGCATAGCCACCAGATCTGAGGTCTTCCAACACCAGGATTTCTTTGTTTTCCAGCTTTAGGCATTTTAGACACCTGGGGTGTGCAGAAAATGGGGCGCGTATCTAGATGTCAGAAAGTAAATATTTTGATTATGATATTTACTTTTAGAATGGATCAAGCTACATCACTAGTAAAGATTTTATGCACTAATGATATATGAATGTCTGAGACATTAAAAAGATGTTTTTAAGGTAGTGCGACGTTTTAAACATTCCGACACGACATAAATCATGCTATTAATATTACTAGTAATAATTGAAGACTTACGTACCACTGGAAGGTATCAACCTCCCGGATCTCATATACAGATAGTATAAGTAATACGAAGTCGCTTAATGAGGGCAAAGTTGCGTATTCAGGTAATCAAAAAAGTGCCTCTTAGAAAGCGTAGTTGTATTGGGATTTCAAAATAAATTGCACACTAACATTGCCACTTTTTCTCCTCTACAGGATGGTGTGTTCGGAATTTCAATATGAGGCTTCATCTCTTGTCCTCCAGCAGCAGCTTTATTTTTTCTTCTGGACGCCATATTGCATTTTTGCGCAGATGAATAGAGCTTTTAATTATGAATCTGGAGCTGTGTAATACGTCATACTTTGACATTGTCAAACCTTGGTTATTCCAAAAAATACATGATTTCCAAGGTAGGGCTAGTTCTACAGGGTGTCCGCAAAGTTGGGGTTTTCCTTTGCACGACGTGTAGATCTTGAAAACATAAGCAATTTTTCTTAGTACCATATACACCAATATCTTAAGGGAACCGAGATAAAGGGCTCTGCAACATCAAAAATATCTGAATACCGTCCTGTAGCCGCGACCCGCGACATCACCGAGTGGTACAAGGTCACTGGCTCAACCCGACGACAGAACTGGGTCGGGGTCAGTGTGTCAGGTCAGTATGCAACCTTCAACCGACGGTTACGGTTACGCGTGTAGAGGTAAACGAACCCGTATAATCGATTGCGTTTCAGAAAAGATAATAATAATGGCACACTCATACACCAATAATGAACTCGTTGATATGTTGTTAATTTATGGCGAATGTCTTCAAAATGCTACAGAGGCTTCGCGAGTGTATGCAGATGGTTTCCCTAGACGACATCATCCAAGGCCCCGCAGATTTGTGTACCTGGTCCAGAGAGTCAGGGATATGGGCCATTTGGAGGAATTTCGAGGTGGGCACAGTGGGAGGCCTAGACAACCAGGAATGGTGCAAGTTCAGGAAGAACTACTGAATCGCGTAGACGAGAATCCCTCAACAGGCACTAGAGACGTGGCTAGAAAAGTGCAAGTATCAAAAACTAAAGTGTGGCAAACGCTGCGTGAAGAGGGGCTGTATCCGTTTCACGTCCAACGTGTACAAGCCCTTCAACCTGACGATTTTCCAGCAAGAGTGCGGTTTTGTGAGTGGTTGTTGCATCAACATGACAATAATCCGGACTTTTTGAAGTGCATATTGGTGACAGACGAATCTACGTTCACGCGTAATGGGGTGAATAACTTTCGCAACACTCATGTTTGGTCAGTAGAAAATCCGCACGCTGTCCGTCGGGCACATTTTCAACAAACATTTTCGGTGAATGTTTGGGCTGGCATGGTGAACGGTATGCTCATTGGACCATTTATTCTCCCAAATCGATTAGACGGGATGCAATACCTAGACTTTTTACGCAACATTTTGCCTTCCTTGTTAGAAGATGTGAAATTAAGTGTAAGACAATCAATGTGGTTTCTGCACGATGGTGCACCGCCCCATTTTAGACGCGAAGTGCGTGAGTTTTTGAATGAACTATTTCCGAATAGGTGGATCGGACGTAATGGACCCGTAGCGTGGCCTCCGCGATCTCCAGACTGAACAAGCTGGTGCTTTCATTTGGAGGAGGGACTCCATTCTCAAAGCCTGCACCGATGCTTGGCTACGTCGTGCACGCACCTGTGTTTTTGAATCAAACGGCGATAACTTCGAACAATACCTATAAAGTACGTTTACCTAAAAACCGACAACGCGGCAACGCCGTCATATTTGTTACCTCTGTTCGTGGTCTGTACCACCGCCTGCGTCTCCTCGGTAGTGCATCAGCTGATTTCATTTTCTGTTGGAGCGGTATGATTTCGGGCAGAGACGTACTTAGCCCTTCTCGTCAACTGGAGATTGAGTACTTTTTCCTTTATTTTTTTTTTACTTGGTCGCCCTAGTGTCACTACACATTACCTTTGTTATTTCAAGGGTAGTTGTTTCTGAAAAGGACAACCCCAACTTTGCGGACCCCCTGTATATATCTGTGGAAAAATCCAATATGGCGTCCATGAAGAGAAGAAGAAGAGGCAATGTTATTGTGCAATTTATTTCAAAATCCCACTACAAATAAAGTCAGGAAAAAATTGAAATCATTTTGGGATGAAGTTTTTCCGTCTCTCTCCGAAATATTGCTTTGAATTTCTTAAATTTCTTGGTATATTGTTGAACACCTAAATACGCAACTTTGTCCTCATTTAAGCGACTTCGTATCTCTGACAGTTTTCGAGATCTCATTGGAGAGGGTCGCATTTGAAACACCCTGTATACTCCTCAATCGGCGTAATAAAAAATGAAGTTTAAAAAAGCTTTTTCTTATTTTTTTCCTGACCCCAAAAACATATTAGCTTTGAAAAAACTGTTTTTTTGTAGCCAGCAATGAAGATGAGTTTAGAATAAACTATCTTTTTAATACCCGTAAACATTGCAGAAAAAGACGAAAATTAAATGCACCAATATTCTAAGACCAAGAACTGGGAACACCTTGCGGGTTTCAACTTCCCAGCTTCAGTGTTGGATAAATCGTACAATGGATCGATTTGCTATATATTAAGGTATAAATAAACCTAAAAACATTTGATTTCTCATTATCAGTTCCAAAAATTTTTTTTATTTTACAAAACAAGGCGAAAAGTGACCTTTTTTACTTTTTTAAAATCGATACTAATGAAATAAAAAAAACCTCAAGGATTAGATATCTTATAGGAGATTTATTCCTGTTTTCTCTGTGTGATCACTGATTACGAAGATATCAGTCGATGACAAAGGGATTCTTTTGATTCTAGTCATATATACTAAGTGACATATAAATCCGAACACCCAGTTTAAATGGTTTCATTTTAATAAAAGTTGGTGAATGTATTTATCTTACTGTAAATAACAAGTAAAAAAATGTTCAGCTTTATCAGTTGGACATTCCGGTTTTTATACTGTTTTTTTTTAATTCACTAACGCTCTAAAAATGAATATTTCAGCCGCAGTAAAGAATCAACGTTGGCGGCTTTTGGTTCTTGACATCCTTTACGATCGGTTACGATGCCTAGAATACGGAGGCCTGTACGATTTCGTCAACTTAGTGAGTTTGATAGGGGCCGTATAGTGGCTCTTCGGGAAGCTGGACTTTCTTTTCGGGCAATTGCAGTTAGAGTGCAAAGAAGTGTAGACACTGTGGTTAGGTGTTGTCAGGCATGGCTTCGAGAAGGCCTTACGCAAAGAGCAAGGGGCACTGGACGCCGCCGTAGAACAACAGACCGTGAAGATCGCCGCCTAAGATTATTGGCCTTAAGGGACCGTTTCTCCACTACCAGGTCCATTGCAAATTAATGGTTTGCGGAACACGGAAGACCTATTGGCATGCGAAGTGTTTACCGACGAATGAGAAGTTTTGGCTTGTTTTCATACCGGCCACACTGGGTCCTCCCTTTAACTCGAGAACACCGACGTAATCGCCTTGAGTGGTGCAGACAACGGTCACTCTGGGATCAGGAATGGAACAGTATTGTCTTTAGTGACGAGTCTCGATTTTGTTTAGGCATGCACGATGGTCGTGCCAGGGTTAGAGGGCGACTTGGTGAAAGGAGGAATCCACAGTTTTTTGTTGAAAGACATGTTCATCACGCTGATGGAGTTATGGTTTGGGGTGCTATAGCTTATGGTTCCAGGTCACCTTTAATCTTCATCAGAGGTAACATGAACGCGCAGCTTTATATCCACGAAATTCTAGAACCCCATCTTTTACCCTATCTTGACACCCTGGCAGATCCAACTTTCCAACAAGATAATGCCCGACCACATGTTGCAAGACTCACAATAGACTTCTTTCAACATAATGATGTCACATTGTTACCATGGCCACCAAGATCTCCTGACTTATCCCCCATTGAGCACGTGTGGGTAGGAGATTGCTCAATTTGCAACGTCCTCCTCAGACTCTAGAAGCACTTCGAGAGGAGTTGGTGGTTGCCTGGAATGAGATACCACAGGAGGACATTGACCACCTGATCAGAAGCATGCCTAAGCGCGATGGAGAATGCGTAGCAGATCAGGGTGCATCCACATATTATACTTATACAAAATTTTATTAAAATAAAACCATTTAAACTGGGTGTTCGGATTTATATGTCACTTAGTATATCTTCGCATCAAGTGATCGTAGCGAGATTTTAAAAACAAAATTTTGGACCTTAATAAACGATCTATCTGATTCATGTACTGGCCTAACAGAAAAAAATGTTTGCAATCCCGTGGACTAAAGAAAAGATGGCAAACATTTTGCAAGCAAAAACGCGCTATCTCTTACACTTGAATTAGCACTGTTCTACAAATTCTCGACCTAAAAATCTGGAAACTAACGGGTGTTTTTTTTTGCGAGGTATAGAACTTTAAGTTGGCATTACTTTTGAAGATGGCGACCGATTTGACAGCTGTCAAGTGATTTATTCTCAGTTTGGCTTGCCAATTCATCATGAATGGACTTACGCCTGAATAACGCTTGCAAATTGTGCAGTTTTATTTCGAAAATAATAGTTCTGTGCGGATTACGTATCGCGCACTACGTCCATCTTATCGTCGACAAAATCGACCATCAGAACAGTCCGCCATCGAGCACAGGAATTGGATCTGTGTTCATCCACTTTATGGAAGATTTTGCGGAAGGATCTTGGTTTGCGTGCTTACAAAATCCAACTCGTGCAAGATTTGAAGCCAAACGATCATCAAGCAAGGCGTAGATTCGTTGAATGGCCTCAAAACGAGATTGCCGTTGTTCCAGATTTTCATGAGCGAATTTTGTTTAGCGATGAAGCGCACTTCTGGTTGAATGGCTACGTCAATAAACAAAACTGCCGCATTTGGTGTGAAGCTAATGCTCAAGTCTTTGTCGAAATACCGTTACATCCAGAAAAACTGTTTGGTGCGCTTTATGGGCTGGTAGAATCATTGGTCCGTACTTCTTCAAAAACGATGATGGCCAGAACGTAACAATGGTGATCGGTATAGAGCCATGATTACTAACTTTTTCATTCCTGAATTGAACAATCGTGATGTCCAGGAGCTGTGGTTCCATCAAGACGGCGCAACATGTTTCACAGCTCGTGCTACAGTCGATTTATTGAAAGACACGTTTGGTGACCGCCTAATTTCACGTTTTGGACCTGTGAATTGGCCTCCAATATCTTGTGATTTAACACCGCTAGACTATTTTCTGTGTGGCTACATAAAGTCATTGCAGATAAGCCACAAACGCTTGACCATTTGGAAGACAACATTCGCCATGTTATTGCCGATATACGGCCACAAATGTTGGAAAAAATCTTTGAAAATTGGACGTCCAGATGAGACTACAACCGAGCCAGCCGTGGCAGTCATAACGCCACATTATTATCTTCGAATAGAAAAAATTAATGTCAATTGAATAATTCATCGTTGTTTTATCGCAATTTAAAGTTCTGTACCTCTAAAAAAAACACCCGTTAGAATCAAAACAAATTTTTTTAAAGGTCTAGATACGCCCATTTTTCACCATAATACAGCCTTTCAAAAATCACTGAGAAATTTAGATTTCTTTCTTAATTTTTTTGAGTATTTACCTGTTTTTGATGCTGAAACGTTTGAAACGCAGGGAAAACGTCTTCGTACATAATTATTTCCTGATGGAATGCCGATTCGCCCATGCTTTCCCGAAACGCGGCGTTGTCCTTAGATAGCTTCAGAGCCAAATGCAGCTGTTTCGGCTCGCCACTCTCAGTAACACCAGTAACCCTCGCAAAAATCACTTGACCAACAAACCCGTCTCCATTTTTGATACCGTCACTCAATTTCACATCGTAGCTCGAAAAGCCTTCGTTCTCTATCGCTTGTTTCACCCATGATCTGATCTGGTTCTCCATAATATAGATGCAAATCAAATATGATGGAGTGAACGCGATATCATATCATATGAACTTATATATGCATTCATTTGCAGATTATTAATACTAGTATAAATAGATAATGGGAATATGCTATGCTGCAAACAGCTGCTAAAGTTCGATACTAGGCTTGTTTCGGCAAAGACAAAGGAAAAGTCACATGTAAATGTGACTTGCAGAATCTATAGTTATACTGTATATGTTGCGTTTTCCCATATGTTAGTATGCTACTCGGCATTGTTATACCATTTCATGTAACAAATGTTCTCATGCTCAGCATCATTCGCCCCACTATCGGTTGCATATCAACCCAGTTCCCCTCGCGTACATGCGAGGCAAAATTGTCAGCGGTGAGCCTCTCGTCGAGCGTCAGTTCTACAGTATATTCAGATAAGAGATAGACCGGATGTAAACAAAAGGTTCGGGTGATTTTCACGCTAACGCCGCCGTCTCGACGTAAAACAGGAGCCCTCATTGGTCAATTCGCAATTAAATGCCTATGCCGAGCGGCAGAGCAGTCGTATCAAGGCAGAGTCACATTCAGGTTCAGACGTGTTACGTATGTCGTGTGCATCATTGCAATTTGATATTTCTTTGGGCGTTTTCGTTTGTTATCTTATTAAGTTGTTGAGTTTGTCGTTGTTATTGTTATACCTTGTTATTGATTGTTATTGTTATCAACTGCTTGCGCAAAATGCCCAGTAGTACAGATACTGCCGATGAAGTTGTAAACTCCTGTAGTCCACCTAGGAAACGCTCTAAAAAGACACCTGAGTGCAGAAATTAAAGAGGTCATTTTGAATATATATATATAAGATCGAGCGCGAGGAGAACGAGGCATCAACCATCAAAGAAATTGTTGTGAAGGTTTCTCACAAAGTTGGGGTGTGTCGCGCATCAGTGTTTAATGTGTTAAGACAATACAAACAAAATCACACCTTTTCTGAGCCAATGACCAGTAAACATCGCAAAAGTATTGTTAAATCATTGGATGAAGCTGATAAGCATGCGATTAGGAGGAAAGTGCATGAATTCTTCTTTAGGAATGAAATACCTACTATAGATAAAGTACTGCAGGAGGTAAATGGAGATACAACGTTGCCAAATTTCAAACGATCAACTTTCCATGCTTTACTGAAGCATTTAAATTTCAAATGGAAAAAACGGGGTCGTAATAGTTTACTACTGGATAGAGAAGAAATTGTGCTATGGAGGAGGGATTATTTAACAAAAATTGGGAAATATAGAAATCAAAACAGGAAGATTTATTACCTTGATGAAACGTGGGTAAACGCAGGACACACTACAAGTAAAGTATGGGTTGATGATTCTGTAACTTCATCCAGGAGAGCCTTTCTAAATGGACTGTCCACCGGATTAAAAAATCCAGCAGGTAAATACGAGTAATAGACAACAATCGGATGTTTTTCAAACCTTGGGAACAAGGTTCTAAACATTAATTCCAGGGGGTAGATAAAACATATTACAAGTAACAAAACTTTTATAACTTTCGATAAAATGCGTGGATGTTTTATTGTCATTTTCATTTGTTAGAACTTTTTTAAGCCATGTTTTTATGTAAAACCTATTCAAGAATCTACTTTCTGACAATGTTCAACCATGCACACTTTTTTTACGTTTTGAACGTTTTAATTTGGTTACATATTTACCTAGAAATCGAAAAATATACTAATCAATATTCTAAAAGCAATTTTAAGAGATATACGATTATTTTTAATTTAGGCTAATTTAAACGCCATTTTGAGATTATATTCGACTGTATTTCACCGAACATCAGGCGGCATCCGAACCTGGAATTCGAAGCGAAAATTTTGAAACCCTTATGTATATTTACATCATTATATATTTCTTACCCCACCCCCACATGATCCTATATCCATCACCAATCGTATACACATCGAATTGTGCTAATTTACTACAAAGTTACGCAAAGCAGCATCTACTATCTAAAATATGTACTGCGTGACTCTTAATACGTCCCTGCCGAATGTTACAGCGTTCGATGATCACGTGATCTTGTTTATGTCCGGTCTATCTCTTATCTGAATATACTGTAGTTGTATCTGATAGGCAACGCACCTACCACATTGGATTAGGTGGTTAGGTTTATCCTCGTCTTCATTGCAACATTCACAATTCGCGTACCCTCTTTCCTACTCTCTTCAGGTAAGCTGTCACCGCACATCTTTCCGCAGCCAACAAATCAATTGGCGGGATGCCAGCTACCACCAGCAGTGCATCGGTCGACTCCTTTATGTAAGCGCATACTACGCACAGCACTACTTTTCCTTGACTTCTTATTATTAGCTGTCTATATTTCTTTTTCCTCAAAGCCTTGTTATATACGAGTGTCCCAAAAAAAATATGCATTTAAATTCGCAGTACATTTCCTATCATGTGACAAATTCTTTAATTTGGTTTTATTCAAAAATGGTACAATTTATCGATTATCAATAAGAGTACCTTTTTTATGTAGAAGACCCTAAATTTTCAAATTCTAAAATTGAATTTCAAAAATAAAATCACACAAAAATTTTGGGGCTAAAATAACCTGAGTCCTGCCCTGTTACATACGCTTCCAAACAAAACTGTCTAAAATTGTTAATATTTTTAAATCTAGCATAAAAAACTAGGCTAGAATACCAAATTTTATGTCTTTATCTCAACACGAGCCCCTTTAAAAGACCGTAGCGCCCTTAGGGGACGTTTGTCGACCTATGTTTATATAAACTTTTCTTCCTATTTTAAGCTCTAGAAACCGCTGGTAGAAACATTCCATATCTGTGAGTAATTGAAAAACATACGTTGTTATACACATTTTAAAACAAAGCGAATGTGTGTGTGAATCTTTTGATGCGAAGAAAAATTGTTTTTTTCAGATTCTTCATACTCTTGTGTATATCTATGTTACATATTTAGAGCTGAAATTTCACACGGTCACAGATCAGCCTCAAAGCTTATAAAAAAAGATTCACACCCTTTAATATTCGCATCTGAAATATACATATTTTTACGTCACCTGAAATTAACCGCGTATCCACCAAAATTTTAGCTAACGTTTTTGGAGCGCAGTTTTTTGCGTTAGAATGATAAACTTGCAAATCATGATCGAGTAGTACAGTTTAATGTAAAGTTTCACAATAAAACCCGGGACTGACTACTGTTTCATATTTACTCTTATGAAGTTTTCGGCAAAAAATTAACGATTTTTAGCAATAACCAATTAACACTTTCGCTGCCGCTGGTTCTTATAAGAGTCAACGCGAGATGTTCGCCGACGTCGCTGACTCTTATCAGAGCCAAGGTACTGTACTGCAGGCACTCAAGGGCACAAATTAGTAAAGCGTGATTTAAACGGTAAAAAAAACTATCCAGAAGAAAATGCCAGTCTTCTAGCAAGAAGGGAATCCGTACCCAAGCTATCTAGGAATGTAGAACATGCCCTTATGTTCCAGGATTCTGCTTGGACTGCATTATTCTCAAATAATTTTTTGCACTAAAAATAGTCTGCGTTCACCACAAATTCATGTTTGTATTCTAAGAAAAAGTTGTTTCATTTCTTATTTTTGATTAGATTATATCTCATTAGGTGTATTATTTACCGCAAAAGTTCTTGTTATACTTTGATATATTCTCTACTATACTAAGTGAATCCGAACACCCAGTTTAAATGGTTTTATTTTAATAAAATTTTGTATAAGTACTTAATGAAGCATAATAAGTAAATGATAAAAATTTCAAAAGGATTGCACTGCTTTAAAGCCCTTTGACCTTTAATAATGTGTGGATGCACCTTGATGTGCTACGCATTCTCCAACGCGCCTAGGCATGCTTCTGATCAGGTAGTCAATGTCCTCCTGTGGTATCTCATTCCAGGCAACCACCAACTCCTCTCGAAGTGCTTCTAGAGTATGAGGAGGACGTTGCAAATTGAGCAATCTCCTACCCATCATATCATACACGTGCTCAATTGGGGATAAGTCGGGAGATCTTGGTGGCCATGGTAACAATGTGACATCATTATGTTGAAAGAAGTCTATTGTGACTCTTGCAACATGTGGTCGGGCATTATCATGTTACCTCTGATGAAGATTAAAAGTGACCTGGAACCATAAGCTATAGCACCCCAAATCATAACTCCAACAGTGTGATGAACATGTCTTTCAACAAAAAACTGTGGATTCCTCCTTTCACCACGTCGCCTTCTAATCCTGGCACGACCATCGTGCATGCCTAAACAAAATCGAGACTCGTCACTAAAGACAATACTGTTCCATTCCTGATCCCAGAGTGACCGTTGTCTGCACCACTCAAGGCGATTACGTCGGTGTGCTCGCGTTAAAGGGAGGATCCAGTGTGGCCGGTATGAAAACAAGCCAAAACTTCTCATTCGTCGGTAAACACTTCGCATGCCAATAGGTCTTCCGTGTTCTGCAAACCATTCATTTGCAATGGACCTGGTAGTGGAGAAACGGTCCCTTACGGCCAATAATCTTAGGCGGCGATCTTCACGGTCTGTTGTTCTACGGCGGCGTCCAGTACCCATTGCTCTTTGCGTACGGCCTTCTCGAAGCCATGCCTGACAACACCTAACCACAGTGTCTACACTTCTTTGCACTCTAACTGCAATTGCCCGAAAAGAAAGTCCAGCTTCCCGAAGTCCCACTATACGGCCCCTATCAAACTCACTAAGTTGACGAAATCGTACAGGTCTCCGTACTCTAGGCATCGTAACCGATCGTAAAGGATGTCAAGAACCAAAATCCGCCAACGTTGATTCCTTACTGCGGCTGAAATATTCATTTTTAGAGCGCTGGTGAATTAAAAAAAAGCAGTATAAAAACCGGAATGTCCAACTGATAAGGCTGAAAATTTTTTCACTTGTTATTTACAGTAAGATAAATACATTCGCCAACTTTTATGAAAATAAAACCATTTAAACTGGGTATTCGGATGTATATGTCACTTAGTATATTTTAAGTTTCAAAAATTTTTTTTATATTTTATTTTTGTTAACGGTCGATAATAAATGTTTTTTTTTTAGTTTTAGTTTATTTCTGTTATAAAAAGCAAA